ATAAACAAACTAATATGGAATTACTTACTACCACAATGTCCAAGTTTTATACACATATATTCATTCCTATTTATTTTCATTGTAAAAAATATGACCATACGTGTTTATGTTCCATTTACTGCAAAAATTTATTATACAACTAACAAAACAATAGAAAATTGATTTCACGCTATATATTCTGAATTAAATAGTTAGTGGGGCTTTTGCTTGATTTAAGTTTGATTTTGCTGTAGAGAAAAGACGTCATACTTTTCTGAATAGCGGAATGAAGAAGCGGTCTGTCGGTGGTATACTGACTAACTAACATTCACAGTCTATAGAGTATACATAGTATAGTATAGTATATATGCAGTAATCACCTACCACAGTGAGAATATTAATGGCATAATACATTTCCCATTGAATGTCCTCATTTAATTCACCAATCTATACTAGAAATGAGTAAGGCTTAATATATATATATATATATATATATATATATATATATACTGTTTATTGCTATATGACATGACAGTATTCACTTGTCAGGAATTTAGAACAGATATATTTGAAAATTCAATGATTTTACATGAGTATTTTATCTTGTTTTTTTTTGAAAATCTTAAAATGTGGAAATGAATAACTTTCATATACATTCCAAAAAACTTTTTTTTTGTTCTTATAAAAACTAATGTTTTTTGGAAAAACAAACATTCCTTTTGTATAAGCGAAAACAAAAGAGTGAGGAGTCCGTCTTTTCGGCGGCGAACTCATTCACGCCTAGCTAGCTGTACAATCGCATTTATTATTATTTTGTTATATCCTTTAATTCCTAGAGGAACATAGGGCTTCAGCCGCGCGTCTCCATTGCCTTCTGTTTTCTGACAACTTTTTCACCCTACTCCAAGTCTGCCCACATGCTTTCATCTCCTCTTCACATGACCTCCTCCAAGTCACCCTCACACTGACGACCAACTCGCCGCCCGCTCCCTTTCGGGTTCCACTCGAGCAATGGCTTGTCTAGTGATGTCACTTATGGTTTGTTTTCTCAGAGTATGGCCAATCCATCTCCATTTCTCCCTGCCTATCTGTTTCACAATCGGTTCCTGGTGGGTTGGTTCGCTCATTGCCAGAGATCCCTGTTGCTGATCATTTCTGGCCGGCCATCTGATCTCCAGTGATGCTGAGCGAAGACAACTGTTAATGAATGTCTGTAGTTTGTTTGAGATGCTCTTTATGACGCTCAGTGCAATTCTCTGATCCGTATAGTGAGTAGCACTGACTGACTTCACATTGGAGTTGAAAATCGGGATCTTATTTTTGATTCTGAGTGCTGTTGACCTCCTTCCTGCACACAGACTTGAGAGTGATGAAAGCTTGACTTGCTCTTCCGATTCTGGCTTTGATATCCTCGTCAGTTCCGCATTAATATATAATTTTTCTGTTTTGTGTGTGTGTATATCTTCTTTAGATTTGTCCACCAAGAATAAAAAGTGTTCAAGAACACTCTCCTGCATGGCTGATAAAAGGTAATAGTGGCTCTTTAAGGTGTAACGATGGTACTGCAATGGGACCTCCCTTGGATCCATTACTGGTGGACGATTTAATTGGCTGACCTTGGGAATGATCCAATAATGTCCTCCCTTGACAGTCTACAATTGTATAAACGGCATAAATATGAAATTTTTTCTTCATTTACAACAACAGATACGACCTTAATCAATTGCTTTAAATTTCCAAGTATTGGTTTTTAGGGATTCAGTTTGATTGGATGGAAGATTTCATCATGAGCTGACATCATTTAGAGAACTAAGCGAATTCCCTTATGTGTTAAAGTGAAGAAGGAATATAAAATAAAACTGAAAAACTGGATAAATAAGGCCATAGATGCACAGAGAAATTTGCTTTCTTATAACAGGTATAACATGACATTTATCTTACAAATAAATCTTTTATCTGGGATTATATTTTCGATTGTTATTATTATTATTATATTTATTACTTTTCTGACACTTACTGGTATCAAGGGTATCAAGTTGAACAAATTATTGTTTCCAACATATTTCTGCAAATGTCAAGACACTCGTATGACATTTTTATTATTATCTACACAGTGTATAAACTCATTTTAATGATTAAACTTATTTCACCACCTGTGTGAAACAGCTGTCCGGTAATCCCAGGTTTTCCGTTGGTTCTCTAACTGATGTGAGCTCATGATGGAATCATCAATCCAATCAACAGATATCCCCACAAAACCAATACTTGAAAATTAATCTGATGCTCACTAGCAACTGGCCCCATTCAGGTGGTGACCTGGGATTCTAGTAAGAAGCCATGACCAGTAGGATACGGCAGGTTGAAGGTGAGGCAGTAACTCATCGAAGAAGACACTGCGAAATGGTCGTGCTATGTCGTGAATTGTCAGAAGTTAGAATTTACGGGCTGGCCATTGGATTGGGCCCCAGTGGCTTATAAAAGGTATACCAGCTCGCTTTGTAACCAGAATGTCCTGGGTTCGAACCCTGGCGGTGAGTGCATACTTCTGAAGAGTCCCAAACTAGGACGAAAAAGCTGTTCAGTGCTTTCTAGTGGTTTTCCAGTCGTTCTCTAACTGATGTCACCTCATGACGAAATCCTCCATCCAATCGCTGCAACAACTGTCATCCAACAATAAAATTCTTTCTAGAAATGGAACGCGAATCTAAAATTCCTTTTCCTGATATGCAACTAACCAGACAACCTGATGGAATCTTAGACAGGTCAGTCCATAGAAAAACCTACTTAGAATGGTCAACTATAACAAGTTTCTACAGTTGGGTACCTATTGAGCGGATAGGAAACTTAATTAAATCCCTTGCTAATTGGATCTTACGCATCTTCAGTCGTAATACTCTAGAAGCAGAACTGGATCTTCTGAATAAAACCATCATCCGAAATGGATACCTACCAAGATTCATCGACAACAACATCAGACCAAAAGTTCAGATGAAAGAAACATCGACTGTTTCAAAAAAGAAGTGCTGGACCCTACTGCAGCTCTAAGAAATCGATCCAGTAGCTCTCAGTAATCTAGCGATTGATACTCATATTATAGGATCGAAGGACCCTGCGCAGCCGTTTGGGTGAGATTCCCAATGTAGGTCAAGACGGCTGTCCGGTATTCCCTAATTTTCAGTGATTCCTCTAACTGATGTTAGTTCTTGACGAACACTTAACGACTGAAATTAATCTGAAATCTTAAGAAATCCCATAATCAAACACTAAATAAAGACTGAGAGCATGTCGTCTCTTATCACAGACTTTAGATAGAAAACCTGTGTAATATTTTAGTCACTAGTCGTTATCCCCTAACCGCCCTTACCACATCTCAACCCCCTCCAGCAATCTCATTCGAATGTCGACGTTACTAAAAACAAGGTCATCTATGAACATGCACTACACGAATCAAAAATTAAAATGTTAAGCAAATTCTTAAAGATAAAATGAAGGTTAGAAATTGAGACACTAGGCAAATTTTCCGTTAAGAAAGAATAATCCTTGTGGAAATTGAAAATAATTCACTGACTCAAATGTCTGGTTATCCAGAAAGAGTTAGCAACAAGCTCTACGTGCGTAAGTAAATGGTTCAGTCACTATTACTACTTTGATGTCCTGTCTAGTCTATGAATTAATAAATTCTCTTAATAATACCTTGAAACCATTGCCAGTCAGGTAAAAACTTGGGCTACCAAAATATTTCCATCTGTCTATATTCACTCTTGTTCGGTTTGTTTTAAACGATTAAGATATGACCACTAATGACATTATTTCTTCTTGTGTGTACATTTAAAGTGTTTACAAGCTCCTGTTTCACAAATACCTATTAACCTTGTGGAAAGGCCTTAGTGTGGATGACAACGTGTTTCAGTATATGAGATAACTGTTCTTCATGTATCTCTTAATAGGTCTCAAAATGTGCACCCGAACATCTTACAACTGGCTTTCAACTAGATTTCGTGGATGTCTTCTTGAAGGAGACAAAGCAAATATATCATGGTGGATTGGTTTATGCTTCAGCTGAGAAACCGCAGCATCACAGGAGAGACTGTCATTTATTATTTAACTTGAAGATACTGTGCGAAGGGAAAATATTATGCAATAAACTCCTCTGAAAATTTTGTTCATTTTATGAATACTGTCCGGAATAAAGGTATTATTATTATTATAATGGTTATATAAATCTATAACCTGATAAAGAAGAACCTGTCAGCTTAACTTAGCCTTTTAATTTTTTTTTTAATGAACATCTTCACTTAATAAAACTATTTTAAAGGACCATTAAAAACCAGCAAAGATTACTAAACATCCGTTTCGTCCGCATAGTTTGGGACTCTTCAGTACTATCCATCTATAAATTCAATCAACAGGGATTGAACCAAAGGCAAGTGAGCTATCGGGTACTTTTCCCCCTCCCTGGTAGTTTTTAGTAGTACTCCAACTTAATTCAATTCCTGACCAATCTCTCAAATCAACACTTGGGGATGGGGGAATGAAAGTTTAACACGACTATCATAAACCTTATTGTAACAGCCTGTTGCAGACTTTTATCAACAACTGTCAACTATCGCTCTATACTGAAGATCAGATGCCCGGGAGAGGCCGGAAACAATCACCAACAAGAAACTATGGGAAGGAGCAAACAAAACAAGAAGCAATCGCCAACCAAGAAATATGCAGAAGAAAGTGGATTGAGATGGATTGGACAGTCAGTGAAGAGACCGCTGGGTGGAATTGCGCGTTAGGCCATCGCTCGAGTGGAACCAGGTCGAAAGGGAAGCGGGGAGTGAGACGTCAGTGTAAGGGTGACATTGAGGAGATCGTGTGAAGATGAGTTGAAACAGTGTGGACTAATATGGATGCAGGTGAAAAGCACAACAAGGGACAGAAGTGGCAAGTGGAGAGGTGGAGCTGAAGCCCTATGTTCTACTAGGAACCCAAGGGAACAATAATAATAATAATAATCATAAACCTTGACTTACCATAATTTTGAACTCAGGCGATTGTCTTAATATCTCATAAAATATCTCCAAATGGGCTTTGAAGCAAAATTTTGTTTTGATTTAAGTCTTGTATGCATTAATAATGTTTCTTAATACAAATATTTTTGACCTTTGAAAATATGTACTCTTGAGAAATAATCGCGAAAATGGTAGTAATAATAATAATAATAATGATACAAATAGAATTATTATCCAGTTAAATCACTTTTTCCCTTAAACGTTTTGTAAATTTTTAAGGATTTTCAAAAATCTAGTCTCTTCTTTGTGTAAATTATGCTCGATTATGTGTAGTGATGATTATAGGTGAGGATCATCATTTGTGTTAAGTAATTGTCAAACATTATAATACCTCTCTTTGTACTATTTGTTTAAGCGTGAATGGGTGAATTTTATTGGTTTAATGCCTTTAGCCAATCATCGGCGTTATACACCAATTTATTCATTCATTCAAGCTTAACTGAAAAAGACACTGGCAATTGCCTATTGCATGTGTCTTTGGACGTAAGTGTGCATTTAAAGTTGGATTGTGATCTTATATCATTATAATAAAGATTTCTGTTTTGTATTTCCCAATGAATGAAAAAGAGCAAAACAATACTGTCATTGTTTTTACTGACGTTTCGCTATTTAATAAACATTCTATCTCCTAGAATCCAGTTTACTTCGTGAGCAGGCAGAATCAGACATCGGTGAACTGCCATTTCTAGACTGCTTGTCTAGTTAAGAGGAAGGAATATGGATATTTTAGTATATCCATATTCAGGAAGAAAACTCACTCCAATAAATATTTGAACTGTGGGTCATCACACCCCATTAGCGCAAAGGTATCAGTTGCTTCAAGTCTTCTTAGACGAGAACACGCTTTGATGTTAACGGATGAGAAAGAAAAGGAAGAAGAAATATCAGACATTACTAAGACTCTCAAGCATAACAGCTACGCAAAGAACTTCATCAACAAAATCAACACTGAGATTAAGTATAGTCGAAAACGTATTTCGAAAACATGGACCTCAACACTTGTCAGTCATTTCATGTAGAGCAGAGACGTCAGACGATATCAGAAGAGTGTTCAATCAGCTCGACATCAGAGTTCTGTTCAAAACATTAGACACACTGCGAAACAACTTTGTCCATGTAAAAGACCAAATCCCTAAAGATTCTCTACCTAATCGTGTCCACAAAATAAAATGCTTGGAATGTGAAGCCATAAAGATCGGACAAACATCGCTAGGGAGAAATCAGAATCAGAAGAAATGAAGACCATAGAGCTGCCTATATTCGACCAGTTGAACTATAAGAGCTTGAAAAATCATCAGCCATGGGTGGTCTACATGATGCTATAGATTTAAGCTACAGAATTGATTTTGACAATACTGAAATAATCCAGAAAAAGCACTTCAGAAATCGTAAAGAACGTCGAATATTAGAAGCACTTCATATCAAGTGGAATCCAAATTTTCTGGATAGGAATGGTGGAGTAAAACAGAATTTGACCCGGTTACAACGCTCCCCTCTTCCATGAAGTGACAAAAGCAACACGAATGTGATATGCGATTTCATTGTATAAACACATGCTGCTTTTACAATTTTACACATTTATCAAATCCAGCAATCTGCACTTGGTTTTGTTATCTTTACCAGTTGGCCAATTGGATAACGGTAAAATGCCGCCATGCTGAGGAACGATGATAACGTTTTTATATATAAGCCAAGATTTTATAATACATGTAATATATAGATATGACCACATGAATTTATTGCAATGATTCTCATAGGGCTTCAACAGCATACCTCGATTCCATCCTTTTCTAAGTCCAGTCCTGTTTAGTTGAATCCAAGATTCTCCATAAGCCCTAATTTCTGCCCCACAAGACCTTCTTCATGGTACTCTCTGGGTTATACCCAACTCGTAGGTTCTTAATCAAAATTCACACAAGCGATGGATTAACTCGCGATGTCACTCAGACGTCACCTCAGTATGTGTCCACTACACCTCCATCTTCTTCGACATATGCCCTTGACGGGCAACAGGTTCTTAGTCAGCTCACTGGTTGCCTAAATTCCTTGTTGATTATCCTTTCTGGTCAGTGATCCAACCTTCACTATAGGGTAAAGTGGGAAGCTCGTGATAAAAGTTCGACGCCTGTTCGAAATACTTTCGGTGAAAAATCAATTCTTTGAACCATATAGAGGAACAGATGAAATTAGGGGGTTGAAAATGTAAAAACTCATTCTTCCTGCTAAATACTGTCGAATTCCAGACTGATTTCAGAGTAGTGAGAGTTCGTTCCGCCTTTTTGACCCTGTCTTTGATATCCTCCCCTTGTACGTCTGCTTAGATTTTTGAAAAAAGTGGCTTGACTCAGATTCTCCCTAGAGAGAAGATAAAACTGATACCAATTACAAGATAAACTGAATGTCTTAACTGCAATAAACATAACATTGGTCAGAGTAGGCGTCCCGTTTGAATCCGAATCCAAGAGCACAAATTGGCTGTAAGCAGACGGGGTATATAATCATTCGTATCAGTGCATCTGGATAATCATGGACACCAATTTGATTGGGATAATGCATAAATTTTATATAGAGGGAAACACCTGAAGTAATGCCAGGCAGTTTCTAGAAACCTGCCTTGGTACTCAAGTGAATCAACCAGCGATTAGCGAACATACACTATTATGGACGAAATTAACCAGCTAATATAAAGCAAATCATCCTATGACAAGAAAGTTCAAATTCCAGGTCAGTAAAAATGATCAACAGAAACGTAAATCAACAACCAGTCACAACAAAGGAGGTTGCCAGAAGATACGAGTAATCAAGTATTGGTTTGTAGGGATTTGATTGATTGATTACAGGATTTCATCATGGGCTGACATTGGTTAAAGAACCATTGGAAAACCTGGTAGTACTAGACAGCTGTTTCGTCCTAGTTTAGGACTCTTCATCAGTAGGCACCCACCACAGGGGTTCGAACCCAGGACCTTCTCGTTACAAGGCGAGCTCGTACAACATTAAGCCACTGGCACCTGATCCAATGGTTCATGAATTCTAACTTCTGCCAATTCACGATATACCGCAACCATTAGCCAATGTCTTCGGCGAGTATTTGTCCTCACACTCGACCTGCTGCACCCTACTGGTCACGACTTCCCACTAGGATCCCAGGTAACTACCTACCTGAATCAATCGGCCAAATCTTTACAAACCTATACTTGAATATCAATGAGATGCTCACTAGCAACTGGCCTTAATCAGGTAGGTAGTTACCTGGAATTCAAGTAGGAAGTCGTGGCCAGTAGGGTGCAACAGGTAGGGTGTGAGGATAAATACTCGCCGAAGAAATTGGTTAGCGTCAATTGGCAGAAGTTAGAATTCGTGGACCATTGGATCGGGTCCTAGTGGCTCAATGGTATACGAGCTCGCTAGCCTTGTAACCAGAGGGTCCAGGGTTCGAACCCCTGTGGTGGGTGCGTACTGCTGAAGAGTCCTAAACTAGGACGAGGCAGCCGTCCAGTACTCCCAGGTTTTCCAATGGTTCCCTAACTAATGTCAGCTCATGATGAAATCCTGTAACCAGATATGAATACATCATTTAAATAAGTCGACTTTATACTACAATTTGCACTGAAAGGGGATGTTGTCTAGATCAAGGGCGACAAAAGCTTCGCAAATGAATCAACGAGCTCAGTGAACACAAGTGATTCAATGGTTTTATAAAGATGTTGATAATGAGTTTTTTGCGATATCATTTTGTTTTAGTGAATTAACTTCATTCTGACCTAAGACTTTCTGGGTGAAATGCTGGTTTATGATCCCTGCCGGTAGAGTTTTTAGGCCATCTTGTTGAGAATATTTCACTTGTGTCCGATTAAACTACCCAGTACATTCCTACAGGATATCAATCGCTAGCCAGCCCAAACAACTCAGTGGTAACGTCTCTGACTGCAGCACTGAGTGACGCGGGTTCAAATCTCAGAATGTACATGAGTTACTTTAAGTTTGCAGATACACCTTGGTGACGAGAGCCAACTAGCACGAAACCCAGATCAAAGGCTTCTTGCCGATTACCAATAATTCAAAGTGCACGGTGATGGCTAGCCACCTAACTGCATCGTGGATGCATTGCAAACTTGACTGATAGAATTCAATCTGTAGTAAACATAGGACTAGACACATTACACTAGTTACTGAGTAGTGTCCAGTCAAAATACTTATCTGATCAGTGCAGTTACCGAAACACATTACTGGGGTAATTTTGAGTTTTTCACGATACCACCGTTAAACAGTACCTTTGATTTGATCTCAAACGTTGATCGTTTCGCTGTCATTTGGGGCATTTACTAGTGACTGAGCGTAGGTAACCCAAAGAAGTAAAAGCCAGCTATACAATAGAACTCATATATATATATCCTACGTTCAGAGCATAACACGTAGGTTTTAGCCACTATGAAACATGCAATACTACACATTTTAGGCTAAGGAAATGTTCTCATTTTCAATTCACAATTGGAAGTAAGATGTAAGTAAGAGTATTCACCAACACTCTGGTAGACATCATATTATTACTTTTTGTTGTTCTGATTATTTTGAACTCAAATTACCCGTTTAACCACCTGCAAGTCTGTTTTTTTATCCTTTCTAACTCTTTCTATTTTTACGCCTCTCAATGGTTTGTTCACTTCTGTATAAATGTGAAACAACATAATAGGCAAATATATATGTATATGTATATATTTATATAATTTTATGAGATGGATTGTATTTCTCAACCTTCATCTCGAAATCTTTAGGGAATAAAGGATAAAGTATGTATGACTGATTAAATTACTACGATCTATCTATTTATAAAAGAAGCTATTTCATTATATTTCTGCATAAGAGTTGAACAATTTCTTGAGAAATAATGCGCTATTTAATAGGATAGGTATATACATATATATATATATATTTCCGACTCAAGAATACTCAACAATACTTAGCCTCATCAAAAACACTGGGGATCGAATCGAATACTTATTACATTGAAAGAGGGAGAAGTGAATGACGCAACACTGGCACACTTGTGAATTTCAATTTGTGATATATTTTTACATATATATATATATATTTTCAAGTATTGGTTTTTTAGGGATTTGGTTTGATTGTAACTCAGTAACTCATCGAAGAAGACATTGATTGCGAAGTGGTCGCGCTATGTCGTGAATTGGCAGAAGTTAGAATTCAAGGACCATTGGATCGGGTCCCAGTGGCTCAATGGTATACGAGCTCGCTAGCCTTGTAACCAGAAGGTCCTGGGTTCGAACCCCGGTGGGTGCGTACTGCTGAAGAGTCCCAAACTAGGACGAGGCAGCTGTCCAGTACTCCCAGGTTTT